AAGCGCATGTTCGCTCTTGATGTGCTTCGTGTTCTGTGGTAATATTCTTCTCTGCGTGCATTCTCGCCCCCTGAGCTCCCTACCATCGCCGTGTTGCGCGCTTGCTCCAGACTACCCGCTACGTAACAATATGTATATATATCACGCAGCTCGAAGGCTCAGTCAGGCAGTACCTGGCTGGGAGTGTGAGGGAAGATCTCGTGGTTCTCTTTCGACAAAGCGGCTCTTTTCCCCAATTATGTTCATCGACGTAGGTGCTCAGTTGATGTGGGCTCTGGGGTATCCTGGTCACATTCCCTGCTGCCATGCGTCGCCGCTTAACGGTAGTCTCGCTCATCATAAAACGATCAAGAAAGATGACCCCACTGAATCAATGGTGACGACATGGCTGACCGCCCACCCGTCGCCCGCGACCCAGTCGTCGGGACCCAAGCTCACTCCGTAAAACCTCCCAGCCCATGTGAAGGACACAGCAAGATTTACGGGTCTATGCATACTTCCATCACTGAGTCTGCTTGAGGACAGCCCCATCGACAATTGGGATAATTTTTGTACCGAAAATAAACTCGGGCCATTAGCGCCTTTTTATGATCATAGCGCAGCAGTCAAGACCCCTTGATTCCCGTGGAGAAACGTTCATGGGCTTGCCTGTGGGTATAATCTTCCTCTCTTTCTTATCATCTCGTCTCTCGTCTTCGTCAGTCTATCAATTCGCTGATCGTCTCGCGTCTCTCATCATCTTCTCCTCCGTCGCTCCTCTTCGCGTGTCATGGTCTGCGATCTCTCTCTTTCTCTCTCTCTTGTCTCTCTCGGTCTCTCCGGTCTCTCTTTTCTCTCTCAGCAACTCTTAGTCAATCCTCCCTCGTCTGTTCCCTGTCTGCAAACTCCAGTCTCGTCTTCTGCTTGTTCTCTTACACTTGTTCTCTATGTCTTCGTCTCTTTCTCTCTCCGTTCCTCATCAACTTGGACACTCTTCGTCCTCTCCTTCTTCTTCTGTTCTCTCGTCCCTCCCGAGTACGTTCGTATTAGTTCAAGTTCTTCATCGTCCCTCGGTTCTATCCTCTCTCTCCTCATGTGTTCAACTCTTTGTTCGTCTCGTCTCTTCTTCCTCTCGCCGATTCTACTCCTGTCTCTCCCCATCGGCCATCTTCTGTTCTTCGTCTCTCTTCTCTGGTCTCATCTTTCTCTCCTTGACTTTTTCTTGAGGTAGGATGGAAGGTGAGAGGGTGCATATGGAAAAAGTAAAGATATAAATGGATTACACTATAAATAAAGTCATACTATCCGGTAGGTTTACGTAGGCATTCATGGCATGACAGGTAATTAGATAGTCACAAACTGCACAGTATAGATATGAATATACTGATAGAGACGTAGATAGAATAGAGAGAGAGGAGAGGAGAGAGAGAGAGAGAGAGAGAGAGAGAGAGAGAGAAGAGAGAGAGAGAGAGAGAGAGATAGTGAGAGAGAGAGAAGAGAGAGAGAAGAGAAGAGAGAGAGAGAGAGAGAGTGAGAGAGAGAGGAAGAAGAAAGAGTGAGGGAGAAGATGAATAGGAGAGAGAGAGAGAGAGAGTAGTGAGAGAAGGAGACGAGAAGAGAGAGAGACGAGATGAGAGAGGATGAGTAGAGGCGGAGGGACAAGGAGAGTAGAGGAAGGAACGAGAACAGGGGAGGAAAGGAGAAAGAGAGAGATGAGAAAACGATGAGAAGAGAAAGAGAAAGAGAAAGGAAAATTAGAAAAAAAAGAAAAGAGAAGGAGGAAGAGGGAAGGTGGAGAGAAGAGAAGAGGAGAGGAAGAGAGGAGAGGAGAGAGGAGAGGAGAGAGAGAGAGGAAGAGAGAGAGAGAGAAGGAGGAGAGAGGAGAATGAGAGAGAGAGAGAAGCGTAGAGAGAGGAGAGAGTGCGACGAGTAGGGAGGGAGGTGAGGGGGTGGGAGGGGGTGGGAAAGAAGAGAGTCGGTAGGAGGAAGAGATGAGAGAGAGAGAGAGGAGATGTGGGAAGAGGAGGAGGACGAAGACTAGGAAGAGAGAGAGAGAGAAGACAGAAGGGAGAAGAGGAGAGGAGAGGAGAGAGAGAGAGAGAAGAGAGAGAGATTTGATTTGAATAACATTTTACAGATTCGGTGTTACGCCCTGAGGTGTCAAGAAACTAAAAGGGCATGCTTATCCACAACTGGCTGTGGTCCTTCTATTTTACGTAAGAGTGCTATCGGTCAACCATTGAGTTTATATACATGAAGCCTGAAGGGCTGTGCCATCCGCACTATCAATTAGTTAGTATATAATCTGAAGTTCAAAAAAAAATTAGTAGTCATAATCATTCAAGAACAAAGAACTAGAGTCTCATAGATGAAAGGTTTAATATAGAATTCTATGTGTGGCCATTATACAGTTCACACCGAGATTAATTTGAGACTGGATTGCCTGGAGTAACCATTTCCATAGGCCCACTAAGGATGGTGTATTGTTGTTCGAGGGAGGAGCGCGAGCAACGTTCCTGGAATTTGAGATTGCTGATCCAAATCCTGTTGTCGTTTCAACACACTCATCCATGCTGCGCTTTCATCTGCCGGAGCAGCATTTGGTAGCTATCTTTGTTATGCAATCGTTTCCTTTCTTTCCGTTGTCTCTTGGTTTGTTTCCTGTCTGGAGTGAGGGCTGAGCTGGCGGCTTGGTGCTGAAACTGGTGCTCTTGATGCCTAGTGCTGTGAAACGGGGTGTTTTGATGCTGTGGTGGCAGGCAGGTGTGTGCTTGGGGTTTAGAGGCTTGGCAGCTGCCAC